TTTCTACAACAAACATCACAAGATAAGCAACACACTATATCAACACAGTTATTCTAGACCCATTTTGCACTTTGTATGAATATTAATCAAGGAATTAAACAGAGAGCAATCCAAATAATATACCTTAATTATTTATGAATTATACACAGAATAAAAAAGTGGGGGATCAATGATAGCATCTTCAAAATATTTCTTAAAACTGAAAGTAAAAATTAAGGTATTTGTTTGTTTTATTAAAGTAAAATATTTATTGAAAATATTAAAGTAAAATATTAAAAAAATTCGAAAGAAACCAACAAGTTTTGTTTTTATCATAGACTAAACAATAAAAGTTTAGTTTTTATTTTTTTCTTAAATCTGACTACAAAATATTCTTTTCTTAAACTAAAACCATTTTTCTAATAAATTAAAAAAAAAAAAAAAAGAAATGCTATAATTTTCTTTAAAGAATCTCAGGCAACTAATACACAATAATTTTTTTTTTTTTTACAATGATGTGCATCCTGTACAATGCTCAAGAGACACTCAAGGTAGAGGGTTACAGAGTAAGAGGAACAGTTTATGTAGATATGGTTATCCTAAGACTTGAATAGGTTAAGATTGTAGGAAACATCCTCTTAGAAGTCAGTTCCACAAAGTAGCAGTGTGTAGGAAGAAGCTTCTTGAATATTACTTGTATCTCACCAATGGAATATGAAGGGAATGGTGGTATATAGTGTATCTTAGCTGTGAAGTTTAGAACGGGCGAAACTAAGGAATGTAGTTTGTCTGAGCACTATCTAAGGAAATAGAGCAGTGAGAGGTTTACAACATTTCATCTGTAAGAAAGGAGTTGTAGAGAGGAAAATAATTTGTCACCCACAAGGTCACAGACATGCTTCTGGACTCTATTGAGATTGGAAAATGAAAACGGGGAAACTCCTGCCAATATACAGCAACAATACTCCATCTTGAAGTGAAGAAGAGACCGTTTTCTGCCTTGTCATTATCAGGTCTTCAATAATACAAGCTGAAGGTCAATTACTGGCCAACTGTTTATTACTATCATCATTCTAACTGCCCGTTAAATCCTGCCAAGTGTTTTCATATTCATTATCTCGAGATGCCAACAGACACCATCCCACTGGCCAAATAAGCATCATATGTTGAAATGATTTTTATTGGACAGTGTAAACAATGTCTGTAAAGAGTCAACACGTCAGATCATGTTACAGGTGAAGTAAAAATCAGTGTTTCTGATCCAGGATGCTAACAAAATGGTCCTTATATGTTTACAGAGCTGACCAAGAGGATTTAGGAATTGACATTCTACAAATAAAGGAATTAGATTATATACTGATAAATTAGATAAAATTCCTGGAACAAGCAAACACTCTGGAATGGCTCATGGAGCTGGATTTAGGGAGAAGCAAACAAGTTATGGAGACAGCGACAGAGTTACATTGAAGAGGTTAAGTTGTCTATTAGAGTTGAGCTCAGAAATACAAAGGAGATCAAAGATGAGCCATTAGGGGTTCAGAGCAGATGAGCTGGCACCTGAGAAATGACAGTGGATAAAAACAGGCCAAGAGTACTAAAGCAGAATTATGAATAGATTTTAAAACAAATTATTTAAATAAAAAACAAAAACAAACTATTCCATTTATGTATGTTTGGTTACCTCCTCCTAATGTTCGAAACCTCTATGAGGAGACGCTTTTCAGACTATAAATAGTCTGTGATATTTTTTTTCTCACCTTATTCATCAACAAGTAAATCTTTTGTGAAGAACATGTTCCCTTTGAGAAACACGTGAACAATACACACATATACACACACACACACACACGTAAACAATACACACACACAAACAATACACACACACACGTAAACAATACACACGTAAACAATACACACGTAAACAATACACACACACACACACACACAAACAATACACACACACACAAACAAACAATATACACACACACATGTACGTACATACGTACAGATATTCACTCACTGCACATACTTTGGACCATTAGGTTTTCACATTCATTTCACACACACACATCTTTGTTATTTGTATACCTTTCTTGTTAATACATTCTCATTTGTTTGTACATATATATTTGGTCCTTGTCATTTCTTACATTTATTTATGTGGACTCACATCCTGAGTCTGCCATGTTTATTGTGGGCATTTCAGGAGACACACGTGTTTATCTCTCAACAGATACACCAGCCTGTGACATGTATAACAGAAATGAGGTTACATGCTGATATTAGTCAATGCTGGACAATTTGCACACATATGAAATGGAGACCAGAGACAACAATGTTGCAATTCTACCAAAGAATGCTGAGAATACTATGGACTGAACATGTGGCTAACAAGGTAGTTTTAAAGAAAGCAGAAACAAAAACAACGTTCATACTTAGAATCAGAAAGAGTTGAAATTTCTAGGACACATAACAAAGAAAGATGGCTTGAGGAATTTAACACTTACAGGACATAGTGAAGTCTATAGAAACATAGGAAATTAAACCAATAATCTGGCGTAAATGGATGGTAGAAAAAGTTCTTTAGAGGGAGGTGAAATGAAACCTTAATGAGAGCTACAAAGATAGGAAGTTGTAGAGAGTCATAATCACCCTCATCCTGAAGTGCCATAGCATATAAAAGAAGAAAATAGAAATTAGATAAAAGAAATTATACAACCCTGCCGCAAAAAGAACATAAAAGGTTCTAACAAAACTTAAAAACTGCAAGTATAATATTAACTGATCTCAAAGAATATAGATTGATTGATTTGTTTTTTATGGCTTAACAATCTTTTGCAAGTTTTTTAAAGTCTGAATGTTTTTTTTCAGAGATTGTAAGAAATTTTGCGGGGATAATCATTTACTGACACAAGTCCTACTAATTAACCCATAGCTGGGGGAGAAGTGATGATTCATACCTTTCCCAAGAGTATTGGTGTGTAAGTAAATATAAAAAACCACTTGGAATTGGAACTCAGCTCTCCAATTTCAGGCTGTTATCAATTACACCACCTGCACATACAAGCTTACAGCACCTGATATTCCAAAGTGGTCACCTATTTAGGTACTGATCAGGTTTGATATTGCTTAATTTTGGTGAGCCTGCAAGAAACACTTTTTCAAGTTGGTGTGGCTGCAAGCCTTTTAAGAATGTAGAATTATTATCTCTAACTCTCTTTACCAGAGTGTAGCCATTTAGAGTATAAAGAAACTTAGAATATTATACAAAGTCTGTAATTAAGAGACACTCCAAGACCGTTGTTTTCATCCAGGTTATTTTAGATTGTTAGTAGGGATTAAGACCATAGATTGGTATATTCACGCACTATTCAAATACTGATATTTCCATGATTCTACAATCTCATTTTCAGTTAGACAAGTGGAAGTGAAGGAACGACAGTCTGAAATACAGGAAAAATGTTACATAGGTAAAATAATGCTAGAAAATAACTGGTCCAAGATTGGTTCAGACTATTAATTTTGTTTCAGTCATTCCTTTCATAAGCTTCTCTCATTTGATGTGCACAAAAGAATTAAAGGTCTCTTTGTTTTGGGTAGTGTTTCCTAGCTGACCATTTTTTTTTTTTTTACTCTGTGGTAAACTAAAGGGAAACAAATAAATATATTGATTAGCACATGTTGAATATAACCCTGTCATCAAACACAAAGTCATTTCAGAAACAGCAGAGACATTTACTACAACTTACCAGAAATGACCAATATTCTCAACATGTGACATTGATGGAACCAATCAGCAATACCAATTCTCATAGTATCTTGTGATAGTGTATAAATCTCTATTTGGAGTGGTTTGTAACACATTACTTATCTCTCAGTTGTATCTCTGCCTTTGGGCAGATTGCACTCAGGGACAACGCCATCAAAGGACAGAGTCGCAACTGAGGAAGATTATACTGAGAGGTGCCCAGCCCTGGGGAACAGATGCCCAGGTCCATGCCGTCTCATTGCACCAGAGAGAGAGAGAGAGAGATTGGTGTTCATACTGAGGCCGGCACAACCAAGGTTGCAGTGGCTGCTGGCGATTTTTGTTCCTGATCCGGGTGTACACACTCAGGTCCCCACCTTAAAAAAAAAAAAAAAAAAAAAAAGACCTTGTGTCACAACTAGTCTTAGTGGGGTGACAGTAAATACCTAGTATCTTGTGATACAGGATATTCAAGATTTGAAAAACAAAACAAAAGGGAGCTGAAAAGAAAGGACTTTAAAAAATTAGATGTTTGCTCAGATATTAGGAAGTGGGTCAAGGCGAAAACTTTTCAGCACCTGCATATATATCTGGCATGACTAGACTTTTTCTTTTTTTACTGAACAAAGGTATACATTAGTAATTTGACATGCTAAGCACGTGCAAGCAAGTTTCTTTGAATTTTCTCCAGACTTGTATCCCACAGGGATATTTCCTGTCTTTTACTTGATTCATGTCCAAAAAAAGATAAACATTAAACTCTCCATCACTACTACCACTTTTCCAGATTTACGACCACTAACTGGGAAACAAAAACAAAACACACAGCAGAATAATTCTTGTAACAAAAAGACTTTTCTTTATCCGAACCCCTTTTTCACCAATTATGACCCATTGGAAAGTTTTGAAATGAACACATCTTTATTTTTTCTCTTTTCAGTAGATAAAATGTTTACCAAATTGAAATAGGTAAATTTTAGAAAACAAAAAAAATGTAAAAGGAATTGTTTACTACAATAATGTAAGCAGTCTTAAGATGTATTTGATCCTAATCCCCAGCCACATCATTTCATATTAAGGGTTAAGTTAGAAAGGATAAAATGATACCTCTGAAACCCAAGATAATAACCTTTATCTCAACTAATAAATCTGTCAAAAAAAAAAAAAAAAAAAAAAAAACTATCATCAGAACATATAAAAACAAAAATTAAAATTAAAATTAACATTCAATTAACCAAGACAAGAGTGGCCATATCCAAAAAGGAAGATGGTTTATGGCCATATCACATTAAAAAACCGGTTCTCACATGATCACCAAAGTTAAGCAATGTCATACCTGGTCAGTACCTAGATGGGTTACCTCTTGGGAATATCAGGTGCTGTATGCTTGGATCTATGGGTGGTGTAACGGATAAGAGCTGAGAATTGAAAATTGAAGAGCAGATTTCCAATTCCAGTCAGGTATTCTTCCAAGCAAATTCTCTTGGGAGAGGTATTAATCCACTTCTCCACAAGCTATGGGTTAATTAGTAGGACTTGTATCATTAGATTATTGTTATCTCCCAAAAATTCTTACAATCTAAAAATATTTTCTAGCTTTTAAATCGTTGATAAAGCGTAAAAAAGACCCCCCCACAAAAAAAAACCAATCAAGCCAAAAAACAAGACATTGTAGACAGAAAAAAAAAATGAAGATTTAGGTTGTTGCCGGCACTGCCAGTTTATCTAAAAGCAGTGGCAACAATATTTTGCACATGTAAATGACGAATGTAAGGAAATGGAATGAAAACATTTAAATATATATATATATATATATATATATATATATATATATATATATATATATATATATATTTTATATCTTTTATTTAATATTCTCTCTCTGGTAGGATTCGAGCCTGTATACCTTTGGGTAGGGGAAACCGTTGTTAGATCCAATTTCCTTTAGACCTCTCAGCCACGAAGTGTGTCGATGATTAAGCAAATTTGTGTTTAAAGGAACTATTCAACTTAGATTGATCATCGACGCACTTTGTGGACGAAAGGTCTGAAGCCCTACGGATCTAACGACTGTTTCCCCTGCACAGAGGAGACGCGGGTTCGATTCCTGTCTGAGAGCGCATATTTTTCTTTAATAAGATTTCGTTCTATGCGATAGAGTAAAAAGAGAAAATAAAAAAGTATGAATGCAAAAAATAATTGTGTTGGTAATACACATGCGTGCGTATAAGGTTCAGCTACTAAAAGGTCCTGGTTAGTTTTGCCATTCAGTATGCCGAGAGGAGAAAATAGAGAAAGACAGGAAGTGTCCGTTTTTATAGTTGCTTGACAGAGCTCTTTAATGACTTGTCGAAACTGGTAAAGTTTTTTTTTTTTTTCAAGCATTTTACCCCAAGCAAGGCGGGATGCCACTAGTACGTAAGGGGTTACTGAGAGTGGGAGCTAGAGTAAAGAGGCGTGATCGAGGAAAGGATGAAGAGAAGGACAGGGAATAGGTCAGGGCATCTGGTGATGTCAATTGACATTACATTTGGATAGTTGTAGATTATAGCTATCAGGGAAACAAGTAATAGGAAGGGAATTCCACAGGCGGGTGGTGCGAGACATGAAGCTATATGGTGCCGTATTGGGTAAGCTCGTACGTTGTAGCTCGTCTGAAGTACTGCCAATACCAACTTCACACTTTCAGTTTGCATTACATTTAAATAGATCTAAGGCGAATTGCATTGCATCTCTCTCCCTCTCCCCCCCCCAAACAAAACAGATTAACGTTTCGTTCAACGTGGCGCTGGACAAAGGAAAGAGTGCAACTGATATAAAAGACCCGTGTAATAGTTTTAAAACAAAATTTTGTTTTGTATCCCTTCAAATACGGTAAATTTGGTCTTATTCTTCATAAAGATACTACTGTTCATTATTACTTTTCCTACTGTTTCCCTCCTTGGAAACTGAACTTTTGAGAAGAAAAGTGACATTTTAAAAAAGGTAAAAAGACTTCTTGGATGATAAATGAAATAAAATGTCATTACTTCATGCCAACCTTTGTTTCAAAAAAGATATGCTCAAATTTTAGCAAGCAAAGGAACTTGGAACTCTTCAATATAAATCCCTGTGAGTACATTTACTAAGTAAGCACGGTATTTTCTGCTTAAAAAAAAAAAAAAACCTTTGTAAAAAACAACAACAACAAAAAAAAAAACCATGTATTTTTTGTGCAGTTTGCTTTGTCCGAAGAGGACATTTATTTGTTAGTTTTTATTGATAAATAAATTATATACCACCCATTATTCGCCATCTTTCAGAATCCTGTTCTTTTATTATTTTTTTGTCTTCTTAGTAGTATTAACGCCTTGTTTGGGGGTGGGGGGTGAAATGATTTTTAAAAAAATCAGGGAAGCTTTCAGTTGACGAAGCGAGAGATAGTTTTTTTTTTTTTTTCTGCCAAAACAACTGAATTATAGTTTTTTGGGCGCTATTACACTTTCGAACTCACCTTTGCATGCACACCTAAATCCTGTTGTTTACCGATCGCGAATGGGTATGTTGAGTGACGGAGCTAATTTCAACTCGATTTAAAAATCAAAGTTATCAGTTTCCGTGAATTCCTAAAGAAAATGCAATGAGTTGGTATTAATTTTTTTTTTTAATTTAGCATTGAAATCCTTAGAAGATACTTCAGAATTCATCTTTTCTGCCACTCTTTTTTGTTGCAAAACCGAGTTGAAATTAGTTCTGCAAGCAATGCAGTCCATACTCACGGCACCAATCAATGCAATTATCAATATTGTTATAAAACTGTGCCCCAATCTTCAAAATTGTGATGTCTTCAAAAACTTGTTGACTGGGTACGCGTTGAACAGCAGACATAATACTTGGTTTGAAATGAATAGTAAAGTACGTGAAGTGATGAATGTAAGCAATGCAAAAAGGATAGCCGCGTGTAGTAAACATGAAAAATTATTTCTTGGAGGGGGGAGATACATCGCTGCGAAATATTACAACCATGGGGTGCGAAAGTGATGATCAAAATAATACGATGCATGTCTCGGACAAACAATTTGGAGCAACCATTTCTTATTCTGACCCTTTACCGCGTAGTTAGTAAAGATTTTTTTTTGCTCCATCTATAACTTAGTTCTCTATAATCACACACTTCATGTCAAAGAAAACAATTAACATGGTATTAAGCTTTGTACAGCATTTTTTTTTTTTAATCTTACGTGACGAAGGTATTTTTCAGTGCATTGCTTTTCGTTTTACCCCAGGATTTAACCGGAAGATCCGAATCTTGTCCCACGTGATCACATTTTGATAAGAAAAAAATCAGGATCAATTCCAAAATGTCGACACAAATTTGCATGCGATTTTTTTTTCTAATCAGGAGCAATGACCTATGTATAAACTTTAATCATGTTCAGATTTTTGTACAAAATTTGCCTGGCAGTTTCTTTATTGATGGAGAGGGTTTCTGTAAACATTCTGATGCGGAGTCATCGATTATTTATAACGACTTTTAAAAAAAAAAAATGATTTCACCCCGTGTAAGGGTGTAAAGCCACAAAGACACTTAGTGTGAAAGAATGGGGGGGTCGGAGAAACATTAAGGAGCGAGAACAATAGAAGAGTAATCAATAGGACAGTAGACAACGACTGACATTGCATTTAAATGCTTAAGTTTAAAATAGGCGGGAAAGCATGGAACCGGAAGTGAGTCCCATAAGCAAGAAGTGCGAAAAAAAAAAGGAACGGTTAGCATAGAACTTATGATTTACATCTTGCCAATTCAACTGCGACTTTTTCCATTCTTTAAAAAATATGTATTCTCAACAGGCTAAAATGGGGAGGTCCGTGCGGAAGTGGTCCTACGGGGCTCAAGATGTTTATGAAGCCTGTAGGTTTTAACGATGATCATCCTTTGTCGAACCTTGTGGACTGACGCTACAGAATCTCAAAGAAATGTACCAAATAACAGAAACAGCTTCACTTGAAGACTTGAATAACAGCAACGACTAAAATAGATAGCACTTGTAACAAGAAAATAGTGACAGTCATCATGTTGACGTTCAACACTACTTCAAACAAAGAGTTAGAAAGAAATAAAGAAAAAAAGAAAGACCCCTCTCCACGACGGTTGGAAAGAGCGATAACAACTACTGGACTTGAGAAAACTATTTTCCTGAAAAATTGTTTTGAGAAAGATTTTATAAATTTCAGGCGAAGGTAGTACTGGCCGCTGGGTCTACGAATGCGGAATGTTTCTTAATAAGGAAACGGCTAATATTACCATTAGATCATGATTAGATCTAAATAGATTCTTTGGCAAAAAATAATGGCATTGTAGAAAAAATGCTTATGCACGTGTCTATATATATTTGATATAAACAAAAAAAAAAAAAAACACTGGATGACCAGTTTGAAAGGAGGCGAGAGCTACATTTATCAGTTCTTTGGCCTATTACCAGTTTTGCCAGGTTCCCGCTGGTTCTCGAGACGCATAGACATTCTAAACATCGAATCAAACAAAATCTCGTCTACTGTTCGAAACTCATCAGTATCCGACACATTTTTCCCATACAGATTAGTAAATAATGCTTCGACAAACATTTTATTGAATGTTAAAATTTTAAAATACTTTGCGTGTTTATTGAACTTACTGTTTTTAAGTCATGTCGGAAGGCGAAAAAAAAAAAACGTATCGACCTCTAGCAATCTAGAACAGGAACAAAAAATAACAAAACAACTTTCGCTATTTTGCTTGCTGATTGGTCAATATATGACACGTGGATTGGCGCATGCGTGCTCTGATTCATCTGACGGAAGTTCAATCTACTAAGTTAATATAGTCACATCTCATATATAGAAAAAGAGTAATAAAATGTTCTCCGTGCGATAAAGGAGTATTTATTTTTCAGCACCAAATATCTGATGTGTAGTGATTTAATTCGAACTTTTCTCTCTCTCTCTCTCTATATATATATATATATATGAATAAATATAGTTTTGAGGTGTGCTATATTTATGGGATAAAGTGCTCAATAGCAGCGATAGAGCGTATGTAAATATAAAAGCGAACACTCAGAGGCAACAGGCTTTGTCATGCTAGGCGCAATCGTCAGGCTTCAATGTTCACTATAGTCTTAAGATGTGCTATATTTATGGGATAAAATGCTCAGTATCAGAGATAGAGCGTGTGTAAATATAAAAGTGAACATAGAAGTCAACGAGTGGCCTGACGATTACATCTAGCATGAAACAGATTATCGCCTCTAAGTGTTGACTTCAATGTTCACTTTATATATATATATATATATATATATATATTTCTCTTGGCATCTGGGGCTACATTGATGGATTGGGCTCCCAGAATAAGGCATTTTTTGTGCATT